ACCGGAAGTGACGTCATTCTGAAACCGGAAGTGGTATAAAAAATAATGTCATGTTATATTGGCATTAAAATAATGAATAACAAATACCAAATTATCAATTACGGCCTCATTGTGATCCGTGGAAATCCTCACAGAAGGTAGAACATCGGGCATAGGTGGTGGGGCAGGAATATCCCCATAGACTTCATGAAGTTCCTCTAACCTGGTGCTCAGAGCAGAACCTCTTCGACTGGTAGCATTCATTTTTTTCATCAACCACTCGGCCTGCTCCTCCAACCTCCTGAGCCTAGCATCGCGAGCTGCCAGTACCTCCTCCGACGTCCTATTGGCTCTCGAGGATGACGCTGCAGATCCCTCCGCTGATAATTCCTCCATCCTCTCTCGAAATTCTTTATCATCCTCTTTATCCGATTTTAGTCCACTTTCCTGCATTGTTTCTTTACTTCGTAATGTCGAGGTGTCCTCGAGGCTTTCAGAAGCCGTTGGAGGGCCGAATAGAGACTCCTGGATATCACCAGACGGTCCCACCACCAGGGGATCACTGAACTGAACTGTCTTACCGGCTGTTGGAAAGGGCCCGATCGAAAATACAGATACGAGATTAGGGCTGACCTCTACAGTCTTATCAGTGTCTTCAGGTACTGAATGTTGATGATTTGATGTGTATGAATGGTCTTGAGTGGTTTCTGCGGGTTCATTTTTGGTCTCTTCGTTACCTGACATTTTCGATTCGGCCTCTGGAGGTGATCGCTGGGAACTTGAAGGCCTCAGAGGTGTAGTCCCTTCATTTGGGCTTTGATTGTCATGAATAAGATTCTGAATGACGTTGGCGAGGGCTCGGTCCAGGAGGTTCTGAGGGCCCTTGGAGGACTCTGTGGAGGAGCTGTCCGAGGTCTCCGGGGTCGGAGTCCTCTGATCAGGAGATTCGGTCTTTGGGTCTGATACTTCGGTATCTGTCGGCTGCTCGGATTCGGTATCTGGAGTTGGCGCCCTTGGATTCTCCTGAATTAAAATATCATTGTTGTTAATAATGACAAAATGAGAAATAATAACATGATGAAATGAAAGACTAGATAATTGAACGATGAAATGAATAAAGAATTGTTAATCAAAAAAGGTGGAAATTTAATTAAAAAAGTACCTTTCTAGTCCTTCGGCGTGGGCCTGCGCGCACCCTCTCCTCGGCCTCTCCCTCCTCATCATCCGAATCGTCGCAACGATCATCACTGAAACCACTTTCGGCACTAAAACCGCAATTTCTACGATTACTAATATTTTCCCGTTTTACAATCATAAAAAAAAGACTTACCTATTGTTGAAGGAATCGTGTGCCAGCGCCTTTCTAGCTGCAAATTCTCTCCTCAGGTTTTTCCACTCAATCTCGGTGTTGGTGTTTTTCTGCCTCGCTGACTCCCATTTTTCCCGACAGTACTCCAGCTCTTGCTTCAACTCCTGGAGCATCTTCCGCTTCTGCTGGAGCTCATAGCGCAGAATCTTCTCGTGTGTATGGAGCTGCTGATGCTGCGCCTGCATTCGACCCACCACATTCCACGTTTTGCTCAATTCATCAGATACTGTTGACAGTCTCTTTTCCTGTAGAATAATATTATTTCAATATTGCACAAATGCGGGCAAACTGTTCCTCGTAAATTCATCCCACGATAATGAATTTTATACATAATTCATCCGAGACAAACTCATTCTATTTTTTTTTCAAACGGGAGTAACGCCATTTTTTAAATTCAAACATAACCCTAAAAATCGAAAGTTTTCTAAAATTTTGAACCGGAAGTGACGCTATTTTTAAATCATAAGTCATGATTTTTTTACCGGAAGTGACATCATTTCACAACCGGAAGTCGTAATTTTTTTGCCAGAAATGACGTCATTTTACAACCGGAAATCACCCATTTTTTTTACGGAAGTGACGTCATTTTACAAGCGCAAGTCATCTTTTTTACCGGAAGTGACGTCATTTGGAAACCGGAAGCCATGAAATTTAGAACCAGAAGTGACTCTTTCCATCGAAATAAAAAAAAAATCCCAAAAAAGACGTATCCCGCCGTTATTTCATCCCATTTTTTCTAGAATCCGAACCAAAAAAATGCAATAAAATTCTCACCTGTTCTCCCAGTTTGCTCTCCAGATGAGAATTGAGTTGCTTCATTCTCCCCATCTCCTTCTCCAGATGTTTCTTCTCGAGGATGAGTTCCTTCAATCGAATATAAGTCTTGCTGACAGAAATAACGAGTCTCGGCCCAGTGGGAGTGTCGACGGATTTGTAACAGCTGTTTGGATCGTTGGATAGTAGAGCAGATGAGGTAGAAGCAGAGGATCCAGCGGCATGACAACTGAGTAGCTCAGTGAGGACTTTCCAGACCTTGGGGAGATTATTAGCGATGCTCTCCTCCTGGGCGTCCTCTTCCTTCTTGTCAGGGCCTCCCTCAATGGTTTTGGACTTCTCTCGTCCCTCCACTTGTTCCACAAGATCCAGAAGGAGTTTTGGCAGAGCTGCAGCCTCTGTGCCCTCTTCACGGGCCATATCACTAATCAAATCATGATTCTCCTGCAGCAACTGCGTCAGCCTGTCCAGATCCATGTCCGCGGAGGAGGCACTTAGGAGCATCTGCGAGAATAAACTGTTGATCAAAGACATCTGATTCTGCAAGTCCCTGCAGTCTGCTTTGGTCAGCCCCAGCTGTGACTCCAGATTCGACACTTCTGTATCCTGTGCGTCCATCTTCTCCTCGGCCTTCTTGAGTTCCTCGTCCATCGCCTCTTTCTCCTTCATCAAGGATTTGAATTTGTGTCGAGTACTCACAAGATCTTTGGATGCTGAATCCTTCAAGTCCACCAGCACTCGCATCCTCTCGTCGTAGAGTCCCTTAAGCCTTCGGACGTCTTCCACCTGGTGCAAAAATTAATATGATTTTATCTGAATTTTATCATTTAACAATTTCATATTTTTATAATTCACTCACCTGACGATCATGTTCAGTCCTCAAGTCCTCATTGACATCAATCCTGAATTTGTCATCCCCCAGTCTAGCCACTATCTGAGACAAGATGTTCTTCAAACGATTCATCTGGTGCTCACGTGTCTCGAAGCTGTCCCTATTGGAGCTCGCGATTTCCTTCAATGTCTCGATCCTGTGGGCGTTCGTCTCGGGTTCGCACTCCAGGTGATACCGCAGATCGTCGATCTTCTCGATCTGGAGTCTGATGCAACTTCGTAATTCGTCCGACACTTTAAGAACATCCGTGAGACGTTGAGCGTCTTTCTGAATGGAATTGGGCTCTGACCAGGGTGATTTCTCCTCCTCCGGAGGTGTCGTTGTCGTACCGATGGACAAGGTCTCGCTTTTTCTCGGGATTCTCTCCGACTGCCTCTTCAGGAGGTCCAAGACTTTCGAGGTCTCCGAGTGCGCCTCTTTCTCGGCGTCCAACTCCTTCCGCAGTCTGTCCATCTCTGAAGAGACTGCAGCTATCGCTCGCTGTCTCGCTTCTCTTTTCAGGCACAAGTCTTTTTTGAAGTCCTCCAGAGTCGGTCGCTCCACTGACTCTTCCTCGGTTGATGTCTCTGCAGGAAAAATCAGAGATTGTTATAAAAATTATTAACAAATTCATGAATAACTCCGAGAAATTACAACTCACCAGCATCAGAATTTTTAACACTCTTAAAAGTCGCAATTATGTCATTCAGTCTTTTTATTTCCTTGAGAGACTCCTCCAGCTCCCCCTGTCTCTCCACTTCATCAGTCTGAATAGAATTCTCCTTCAACAAAGTCCCCGCATCCTCGACCCTTCTGTCAGGACAATCCCCTCGTGAATTCTCCATCGATTTTAATTTTTCTTTCGATATCTGAAACCAGAGGATCCATTAGCTCCAGCTTATCATCAAGAAATCGATTAAAATAAACATCTCCCTTTTCCCTCCAGTCCAACTCAAACGAAAATAACATTAACAATAAAAAAAAACACTTAAAAAAACGGAATATTAATTGCAATGATTTTTTTTTCTGCAAGAAAACACTTGAATTTTCAAATGAAGCTAAAAAATAATGGGAATAAACTAAATAAATCAATTCTCATGAATTTATCAAAGTGATAAAAAATGAGTATAACAATTTAATTTAAATATGAATTTTAATTCATTTTTTGAGATAATTTTTTCCACAAAAAAAAACAAAAGAAAATTCTCCACAAATTTTTCACGAACCTCGTAATCCCTCCGGACCCTCTCCAACTCTCTCCTGAGCCTCTTATTCACCTCTTTGGTCTCGATCTGCTCCTCCCTGAGCCTCCTGACCTCCCGGACAAGTCCTCCAGCCCTATCCTCCTCCCTCCCGCCTCTCAACTCAGCCTCAAGCACGCGAATTCTCTCCACAGCCCTCTGGTATTCCCTCCTGACGTACTCCTCATCCCCGTCGGCCCTCTTCTTCTTGACAGACCTCCAGTCATCCTCCACTGCACACTGACACCTCCCCATCACCCCCTCGATCACCTGCACCCTCCTCCTCAGGTCGTCCTCCCACTTTTTCAAATTTCCCTCCCTCTCCTTACTCAACTCCAGGTAGAGTCCCTCCAGCTGTCCCAGGAGTGCACTGTGAGCTGCTGCCAACTGCTGATTCGCCGCTGCCAAAGTCGAGACTGTCCTCGTGAGCTCCATCGCCTCCTGGTGTACGGGTACTCCCGATGCGTATTCTGATTGCCAACCGGTCATCTGGGTTGCGTAAGTCAGCTGAAGGAATTATTGATCGGCGATTAAATCGATTGATTGATCACGGGTGATCCTCACGGGTCGAGAGACACGAAAACACTGAGTGAATCGGCCCAGGGACTGGGGACAACGCGACGGACACGTGATCTGAAATCCACGAATTTTAGATCCTCTGACTCAGCATTCCTCGGAGAACTGAGGAATAGATTTTTTATTTGGAGATCAGCCAGTTAATCGATATTAGTTGTGGCTTTCAGAGTGAATTGAAAATCCGGGCGGACCTTGAGAAATCACCAATGATTAATCCCCAAATTGATATTCTTAAGAAATTAAAATTACTTCCATTATTAACAGTGAAAAAAACACTTATTATTTTACCGATACTGAGACTCGAACCTGCGATCTTCCGATTACCAGTCCTATGCCCGACCCACTAGGCTACCCTCATCTTATTTTTTAAAAATTAATTTTCTAATAGAGAAATTAACAAATAGTGGATACGGAATATTTAATTAGAAATAAGAAATGAATTGATATTTTAATAGACAATTAATTTCTCAAGAATAAATAATGAAGACAACGAAAATAATTAATTTGGAAAGCCAATGGGATTTTCAACAATTTCGTTCGGAATATTTTTAGATCAAATGGATGACAACAGGTTAACAATTAAAAAAATTATGGAATTTTTAAAATGGATTTGGAATTCAGAGGATTTTGAAGACTCGCGAATGAGAAAATTCAATAAATCCGTGAGTCCTAATTTTCTGGTGAATTCCTAGGGAATTTTAGGTGAATTCATTGTGTAAGAATTCTTTGTCGAATGTTTTGAAAAGACTCGAGGGTTTTGGATGACTTACCAAGGCCTCCTGTGGTTGGCGTAGGTTGATGGGTGTGGGCTGGTGCCACCATTCGTCATGGCGATGACTGTCCCGAGGTCTTGACTCCTGCAGCAGAAATTAAATGTCAGAGATGAAGAGGAGAGGAGTCAAGGGGTGAATTCTCACTTGATTCTGCGGATTTGATCCCACGGACGATTGGGAGGACATCTGGGAGGCCCTCGAGGTCCTGGGGAAACCCTGGAAAGGCCCTCCGGGACCGAATGGCGAGGGCAAGGGTGGAGGCTCGTAATCTCTCTGGTGGTGCAAACTGTGTCCCATCCCCATGGCTCGTTCTCGTAAATTATGAGTCGTTCGGTCGAATTTATTTATTTTTAATTCCCCTCTAAACAAAATAGAAGAATCTCTCAATTTTTAATTGAAAAAAATTCTCAAGAAGATCCAATTCGTCATCCATTTTTGTTATTATTATTATTATCATTTCTTACCCCTGACACCAATAATTTAAACTTCTGAATATTATTTAATAATTTAACTTTTCTTATTGTTATCATTGATGAGTAATTGTAATTAATAGAGAGTTCTGACATATTAGAGTTATAAATTATTGGAAATACGAATTATTGAATTTATCGGGCATTAATTTTCCCATTCAACTCTTCTAATTATTATAATTGATAATTAATTAATTGAGAGCTCTGGGATTTTGGAGAAGTAATTAATTTTGTGTTATGATTACTAATTATTTTGGTAGAAATAATTTTTAGAAGTTGCGAGTATTAATAAGTATTAATAATATTAGAACACTTTGGAATTGAAAATTGATGAATTGAAATTTTTCTACGCGGTAAAATGAGGGACGACTTATTTAGTCACTTGTAAAGTTTTATTTTTGGGATTGAAAAGGCATCCAACTACGTGTACTGCTCTACTTGGCTGGTTAATACCCCTTTGGACATTGGCAAGAGAAATTCTCTTTGTCAAAAACATTTCGTCAGAATTCGGTTTAATTTCATTATTTATCTTCCGCGGGACTATCCAAAATATACATTTATCCCCTCCATCGGTTGTCATAAACAAATAATAATTATTAACCAACATCTACCTCAGGCAAATATAATCATTGAAAATTGTATTTTATATAATCACTATTCTTAAAAGTCAAGAACAGTTCTTTGTTTAATGTTTATAAACGCTGTGATAATCATGAAGACTAATGTTTATAAATTTTTCTGTTTTTTTTGTGAATTGTATGTCAATAGTCGGAATAATAATAGATAAACTTTTGTTAAAGAAAAAAAAAACGGATTATCCGAAATAAAAAACAAGATCTCATTTAGAAATCCCGAATGTCGGAATAGAAATAATTAATAAACTATTACACAACAATGAAAAATCATGGAAATATATAATGACCTCGAGAGTCATGAGTGGACCTAGAGATTTTTCTTAAACAAATATTAAATATGGAGATTATTTGTCACGATAATTATTAAAATGTGTCTAAAATGTAAATAGAGATGTAAAAACTGAATAAAAATTTGTAAAAATTTTATCGTTGTTTGTTAATAATAATGAATAATTAATGAATGACTAGTGAGTGTTGAAGTAATTTGTTAGAACTTTGTAGTCTCCATTTTGTTACTCGAATGGAGAGTAAATTTAACAGAAACGAAAAATAGAAACAGAATATCTCAAAAGGTGGATGACACGTGGGAGATGGAAGAAAAAAATCGCTATAAATAACCAAACGCGTGATTTTATATTCCCGTAAATATAGAACACTCGGTATGAACAAAGGAATCGTAAAATTTCCTCGATCAAAAAAAAATATTCCAATTTCACTTCAGATTTTCATTCGAAGAAACTCAAAACATTTTCACCACTTCAACTTCACTTTTACTACTTTCCCCCCGACTCGTCACTCGATCAACAATTCCCTCCAACAACAATAACAATTATATTATTTCAATAAATTCTATTTGCAAAAGCGGAATAATTAATGAGAAGAAACTAGCACTTTATAACGCATTCACTCAAAAATGGCAATTTAATATTCTAGGTGGAATAAAGAGGGTCGACTTCGGATTTAATTCATCACGAATTATCACGAATAATTAAGTAATCAGGTAAAACTCACGAAATGTCGATGGTTCGTCGGATTTACAACGTAAAAATGAATATTCCTCGGTGATATGTGGACACCTTGCTGGATGCCAGCCAAATCGCCTCCAGTTTTCAAAGCACAAGCCTCTATAAATAAATTGAACCCCGAGGCTGAAACCTCCGCCCGGATTCGTCGGCTTCTACCCCAGGTCTTCATTTCGACAGGCGATCATTGATGACTTGAGGAATTGGAGCAGTTGGACGATTAAATCACAGATGGTATAATTAAACTGCATGATTGACGTTCACTTGCCGTTCCTCATTTATTCATTCTATTTTAATATTCACTGGAAGTATTAATTTTTTTTTTAATTCAGGTGCCAGTCCTTATTTTTCCAGGAGGTGATGATCTGGAAATGTAGGAAAAATTACAATCATTAATAACAATTGATGATGATAATCTATTTTTCAGGTTAATTTCAGGATTAAATTGTGATTGCAATCAATTAATTAGTTAATTAGTTTGTTGGTCAAAAAATGTGGTTTACGAAAAAGTTATTTGGCTCTCCAATTAATCATAGATCATCCCCAGGCTCAGGGTAAAATTTTCATTTTTTTATCATTTCCATTTTTCTTGGATTTTCTAATTTTGAGGAAAAATGATTGTGAGGAAAAATTAAAATGCATCATTTATTTTTTTCTGGAGAAATGATGATTTTTTAAATTGATTATTTCTTATTATTTTATTTTTATCATTTCGCAAGGGTCATTATTATATCCGATAATTAGATAATTAATTAGATTATCATCTAATTATCGAAGTGCGGGTGGATTTCTTTAATTTTTTAGAGAGAAATTTCCAGAAATATATGACGTCAATAGAGATATGAAAACACTTGCGCGAATATTGAGATTTGATAATTATTAATCTCTCGGAGTCATCTATAATCACTTTTTTCATTAATTAGTCTGCCTTGAGCATTTGATCCATCCAGTCTCTCATCATGTCCTTTTTACTTTATCCAATTCTCGGGAGTACTTTACTAATTATTTTTTCCGGTAAGTTTCCCCGAGAAAATGTTTCTAGAAAAATTACAATTATTAATTGCCAATAATAATTCATCAAGAGTTAATAATTACTGTCTCCACTAATTAATAATTAATTCATTGCAATGGATCACATAATGATTATAAATAATGAGATACGTTTCATAATTATTTCCATGACTTTCTGTTATTTATAATAATTACTTTGTCTCCCAGAAATAATTGAAGTACCAATTGTTATTCCCCCAGGAGTCAGTGGACGACTTCCCCGTCGCATAGTGTCTGGAAATCTAGCGGAACGTGGGGAATTCCCGTACATAATTTCCTTGAAATTCGATTTCAAGAATGATGATCACATCTGCGGGGGCTCGATAATAAGTCCCAAGCACATCCTGACAGCGGGGCACTGCGTAGACTGGTTGTACCCCAGGGACTTGATCGTCGTCAGTGGAACAACTCGTCAGGACGATGAAAACGCTGTTCACAGTCAAGTTGCTAACATCACGAGGCATCCGGGATTCGTCAGAAGAACGAAAACATCGAGGATTCAAAATGATCTGGCGGTTCTCACGGTTGAGTATTTTTCAATTACTTCTGGAATTAATTACTTATATTAATTATATATTAGTATTTTGTTTTTGATTATTTTTGATTCTTAATGGCGTCAGTTGAAAGAACCTCTTCATCTCGATGGGCACCTCCAAGATGCTGTTAAATTACCCGTTGAATCCTGGACCCCGGGTACTGCTGCCACCGTTGCTGGCTGGGGCTATGAATACGATGTTTTCAGTCCGAAATATTCCAAAGATGTTCCTAACGATTTGAGAAAACTGCAAGTTACGATTATTAGCCATGAGGAGTGCGCCAAGAAACGAGCTCAACCCTTTGAGTATCAGATTTGCGCCACCAGATCTGATGCCACCGTATGCCAGGTCTTCATTTCATTTTAATATTCACTGAAAATATTAATTAAAAAAAAATTAGGTGTCAATAATTATTTCTACAGGAATCACTGCTGTGAAAATGTAGTAAAAAGTACAATCATTAATAACAATTGATGATGATAATTGATTTTTCGGGTAAATTTTTTGATAAAATTCTGATTACAATCGATTAATATTAGTTAATTAGTTTTGATATTATTATGAGAGGGAAATATAGGAGAAATTATGGATTTGTTGGTGAAAAAAAGTGATTTTACAAAAAAGTTATTCATCTCTCCGAAAAATCATAGATCATCCCCCACAGCTCAGGGTGAAATTTTATTTTTTCTCCATTCCCATATTTTCCCTGATTTTCCAATTTTTGTTATTATTCCAGAGGCAAAGTAGTGAGAAAAAAAAATACAACATCGTATGTTTTTTTCTGGAGAAATTATGATTTTTTAAATTGATCTTTCAGGGCGACAGCGGAGGACCTCTCGTCGTCAACAACGTCATCGTGGGCGTCGTCTCCACGACCAGCTGCAGGCTAGGTTCCTACTCTGGTTACATGGACACGTATTATTTCAGGGAATTTATTCAAGACGCAATGAAAGAGTGAATGATGTAATAATTATTTAATCCAATTCTCTTATCGTTCTTATCTTGTAAAAGTTCAAATCCTTTTCGCTTAAAAAATTACTCCCTCTGTAATTACGCAACACTAATCTCAATTAATAAATAAATAATATCAGAAATATGAAATAGTTTAAATCATTCCATTCAATACGGAGAATTGATATTAATTATTGATTAATTAACTTATCACATTCATTGGAGAGGAAAAGATAGTCTTGACGCCTGTAATTTCGAGAAAGCATGGAATGACGATTATTCAACATTTATCTTCCCCAGAATAAATATTTACCTTAACTTGCAGTTGAACGATCTTATTAATTAATTAGGTTAATTGCCCCGATTAGTCTCCAAACGATTCAAATAAAATTGGGGGATCTTTTAATTATGAGTCAGTAATTATTCCTCAGTCTGGGACTCAATACTAAAATGATTTCCCGATTACGAACAATTATTATTGCAAATGTGTTAATTACACTTTTCATAGGTGAGTCTCATTATTATTTTCGTAATTTCTGATTACCGGAATGTGTGAAAAAAAATTAATTAGTTTAAATAAATAAATCAGAACAATTCATACGATACGAATTGAATACTTTTAAACATTTTGAATAATTTATTGAAAACAAATTGTATTTTTTTTGTTGATTACTAATCAAGAGTTCAGGAAATTATTACTAAATTTATAAACAGTTTAATGATGTATAAATCATTAAACAATTTTTATAATATCATATTTTAATTGAAATACTTTTTGAAATTAATATTCAATAATTGATGAAATCAATATTTGATTAATATTCACCGAAATATTTTTGCAATTAATATTATAAGAGTCTTAACGTTTTCATGTGCTCAAAAAAATGATAAAATTATTGTTAAATTGATAATTACGATAAAAAATTGATTAGAAAAGAAAAAAATCATTGATTGAGAATTTTGCAATAAAATCATTGATTGAGAATTTTGCAATAAAATCATTGATTGATAATTGTGCAATAAAAAAATGAATAAAATACTGACCAGGAGTCTCTGGACGTTCGCCGAGTCGCATAGTCCAAGGATCCTATGCAGAAATCGGAGAATTCCCTTACATGGTGTCCTTGAGGTGGAGTGACTACGGACACATGTGCGGGGGCTCGATCATTGGTCGACGACACATCCTGACAGCTGGACACTGCGTCGACGAGTTCACCCCCGAGGAATTGAACGTCGCCAGCGGTTTTATCAACCAAAATGACAGATCAGCGGTTGTATCCAAAGTCGAGAAGATCATCATGCATCCGGATTTCGTGAGGAAAGGGGAGGGACGACGACTCCAGAATGACGTCGCTGTTCTCATTGTTGAGTAGATTTTTATTTTCAATTATTCATTATTATATATTTATGCACAGGAGAGCACAGGGTACGTCAATTAAAAACCGTTCCGTTTTTAATTTTCAACGTTTTTATAGATTTACCTGAAGATGAATAAATAAATTGAAGTGCGAAATTAATGGTGGGTCGAATTTTTGGTGGAATTCATTTTGTTAAAGGAATTATTTGAAAGGATTATCTTTATTTATATATAAGGGCTGCTGGGGTTAATCAATTAAAAATCGTTGTCTTCTTAATTTTTCTATCCAATATTTTTCTATCCTTTCTATGAAAGGATAGAAAATCCTTTTTATGAAAGTAGAAACACAAAAATGAAGTTCACCCGAGTCGAAATATCTACCAATGCGTAGGACTAATTCCTCATTGGTCGAGTCGAACCGGCAAATTCAAATTCGGCGCACAGAATGCGCAGTAGGTCTCGTGTTTAAAAAACAACGAAAAGATAAATGAAGTATTTATTAATTAGTCGATTGATAAACATTCAAGTGAGTAATTCAATTTTTCGTTTAGCTGAAAGAAGATTTAGAGCTCGACGGATTTTTACGAGACGTTGTAAAACTGCCGGTTAAACCGTACGTTCCGGAAACTAGAGGAATCGTGACCGGCTGGGGCTACACCAAGTCCCTCCTGGATCAGGATGCCGACACAGACACTTCGGATGACCTCTTCAAGCTGAACCTGACGATTATAACTCATGATGAATGCAGAAAATTTCGACTTCCACCGTTCGAGTATCAGATTTGTGCCACCAATTCCCATGGAGTCGTGTGCAAGGTAATGCTCAGGTTTTCAACAAATACCCCTGAATCCACGAGAGATGACAAATTTTTCATCAGAACCTTTCCTGTAGAGAATTCCAAGACCTACAAAAAAGGTTTACACATAAATTTCGCTATCTCTCTTAGATCTAGAGATATTGCCGACGAAGCGTTACCCATTTGATAAATCGACTTGTTGAAAGACTTGAGAAATTGTTTAAACAATTGTAATTTTCTAGGGTGACAGCGGAGGACCGTTAGTCGTTGAAAACGTTCAGGTCGGGGTTCTTTCCACTTCGAGTTGTTTAATCGGATCGACCCCCGCTTTTATGGATGTTTATTATTTCAAAGATTTCATTGAAAAATCGATGATATAAAATTCTCTGCCCCCAGAATAATAATAATAATTATCGAAGCTGATGATTGTTATAATAAAAAATTACAATTAATACAATATCTATAATTCATAATTAATTGAAATCAGTAGAAGATTATAATTCCTCAAACTCGCTATTAATATTATTATTATCATTATGATTTATTATCGTTGCATTTTTTTCAATTGAATTGCTGAAAAATAAAAATAATAATGGATTTGAATTTATTATTCAATTCTGGCGCCGATTGTATGTAGAGCGGTAAAACTGAATTTTCCCGCCCTCTACCAGGAATTCCCCGATAAATACCCACCCCTGGCAAAAATGTCGCACATCCTCACCCACCCCCTTCCCCCCAACCCCACGTGACTGCATATCGACGTATCGAAAACTCGAATTCACCCACACTGAGGTCAAAATAAATGGTCAAATAGTAAAATGGCTGCGGCCAATCAGACGTCAAGTGTTCCGCACTCGTTCGGACGTCAGTGTATGTAGATCAAATAAAAAAATTATCGCGATGCACCCAAAAAGGGATAAATGATGTAGTGAAATTGGGTGGTAAAATCATGAGTGCAGATTAAAATCACGGGGTAGTGAATTTATTTCGATCTGTGGAGAGAGTTTGGGGCGGTTACCGTGCGGTTAAAATACGTCTCTTTTTTTTCTGCGGATGACACTTGCTCGATTGTCGCAAGTACCAGTGGGAAAAAAAAAACGTCACGTCGTAAAATAAAGGATCGACAAGTGGATAATGCACGTTCCAGGGAGTGAAGATTACGACGGGCATCTGTCGATTGATTCCATCAATTAGACGTAAAGGTAATGATCGGGGGGTGTAGATTAAAAAAAAAATGGAGTGTTTCCTATTGTTGGGGGATTTATCGAGCGACTGAATTTTTGAGATTATTTCTCTCGCTCGGGGTTTATTCCCTGCTCCGATTAATTATTCAGAGGGTCTTCCTCATTGATTTTTTTTGTGATTTGTATGGAGTCATGGGAATTATGAAATAAAACAGCTGTGACGTTAGGTTTGTTTTTGTGGGACACTGGGCTGGAGAGATTGACAGATTTTTGACGTTTCAGGGATCATTAGGAAAATGAACATAATGAGGAAATTGAGGGGTGGCAGTGCTGTGGGGGGTATGGGCTCCAGTACTGGAAGTGTAGATGATTGCATGGGGGGTAATCCACAACATACTGCACTTGGACTCATGCATCTTAAGAAACTTTTTTCCGAATACACCCATCCACCCAGTCCACTTTCGGAGGCCGAGAAGGATGATAAACTTTATAATATGCTGCCACTTTTTTGCAAGGTAATCAATCAGGGGTAATGGTAATCGCTGGCATTATTATTGTTTAAATCGGTGGACTAGTAATTAAGAATGTGGACTGACTCTCCTGGATAATACAATGACCAAAAAATATAAAATATAATTAATTATTATCAAATTGATAACACATTTTTTTTTCGATGTTTAATGACGTTTAATTTGAGGAACTAATTACGTTAATAACTTTTGAATTGATTGAGTTGAACAAATATTTATTATTCATTTAGTTAAGTATTAATGTTTATATTATGTTCTAATTGCGAAATATTGAAAATTGAAAGTGGAATGGTTTTTAGGTCAGTAATTCTTCAAGTGATTTGTCATTTAGTATTGAATTGATTAATTTATTTAGCCATGAATGTTACCTGAACCCTTGACCCCTTCCAGGTATTCGGCTCATCCCCATCAACGGACATGAACGAAAAATTCTGGGACATCCTAGCCTTCACCCAGCAAGTCTCGAAGCTGATGGTATCGGAGATTCGACGACGTGCCTCGAATCAGAGTACAGAAACAGCGAGCTGTGCAATAGTAAAATTCCTGGAGATCGAGAACAGCGAGGAGTCGTCAAACGGTTGGATGTTGCTGTCAGCCCTGAATCTTTTGGCAGCAGGTGACACATCCCTGATCCAGGCGATGACAACAGCATCAGTGCCCTCGACCCTAGTAAAATGCCTGTACCTGTTCTTCGATCTCCCAGAGATGTCAGACCTCGAGGCAGACACGAGAGACGCTGAGAGTGAATTTACCCCACGTGAGCGACGAATTCTCCTGCAGAAGATATTCGTGCAACTGCTGGTGCGCCTGTGCAGTCACCCCTACCCCGCAGAGGAATTAGCCCGCAAGGACGACCTGACCCTTCTCTTCTCAGCAATAACCACTGGCTGCCCCCAGTACAACGTAATGTGGAGAAAGAGTGCAGCTGAAGTCCTGATGACTCTATCCCGTCATGGATTAACCCAGAATGTTGTCGCTTACATCCACAACAAGGGCTGCATTGCCCTCTGCATCGACAACATGCAACGAGTACCTGAACTAGCCCCCCTAGAAGTTGTCGAGATGTTTGTGACGGTTTTCTGCTTTCTGAAGGACTCGAGCGACGTCTCTCAGACGCTCCTGGACGACTTCAGGTCCTGCCAGGGCTACATATTTCTGTCAGAGTTCCTCCTGAGACACGCACCATCACGCCTGGATCAGGAGGATAAGGCCGAGGCCCAGGACGCCATCAGAAATCTCGTACTGATGCTGGCATCATTGACAATGTGTGGCCACACTGAGCTCAAGCCCTCTCAGGCCAGCATGGGATCACTCTTCCAGATAATGGGCTTCACTCTCCCCCAGCCCAGCAATCGTGGCGGATCTGTCAGGAATATTCAGGCATTCCAGGTCCTTCAATCTGTATTCGTTAAATCCAACTCACCTCTCCTCTGCTGCACCATCCTCGACGCCATATCCAGTGTTTATCACAGTGATAATGCCAATTATTTTATCCTCGAGGGGCAGAACACACTATCGCAATTCGCTGAAAAAATCCACCTCAAGAATCCAGAGATACAGGAGAAGTTCTTTCAGTTACTCGAGTTTATAGTTTTTCAGTTGAACTTTGTGCCTTGCAAGGAGCTCATATCTCTGTCGATCCTACTAAAGTCAAATAATTCAGTCAATTGTTGTATAATGTGCATGGAGACACTGTTGAACATACTTAGACATAATGTTATATTCAAGGATGTATACAGGGAAGTTGGAATGCTGGAGGTGTTTGTGACGTGTCTTCATCGCTATGCCACACTGCTGAAGGACAAACAGTCGGCGAATGATCAGGGGCTTGAGTACAAGATGTGCATTGAGCAGGAGAGAATGGGGGCACTGGTGATGGAGGCATTGACAACACTACTGGCTGGAAATGTTCAGAATGCCAATGTCTTCAGGGAGTGCACTGGGGCCAGATGTGCTCACAATCTGGTGCCTTATATTGACTGCAGGCATCAGGCACTAGGAACTGTCAGGGAATTGATATTGTCAGCTGGTGGGGATGACGATATGGCAACACTCCTGGGGATTATGCACTCGGCGCCACCCAATGCACTGGTCCTGAAGACCCATATCTTGAAGACATTGCTGGCTTGTCTGAGGGAGTCTCACAGAACTAGAACTGTTTTCAGGAAAGTCGGTGGCTTCGTCTACGTGATGTCTGTTCTGGTGTCCCTCGAGGCTCAGCTGGCCTCTCAGCCACCTAAATCTGAGCCCTGCAATGAGGCCAGGAGCCACCAGGATGAGAATCAATTGCTGACGCTTCTTCATGTCGTCTTCCACACCATCAGCACAGCCATGAGGTTCGAGCCAGCTAATGCCAAATTTTTTCACCTGGAGATCTGTCAGTCGAGCCTCTGCGATACCCTGAGACTCCTCGGATGCTTCACCTCGCAGTTGAGATTGGGGGAGACAAGTATGAGGTCGTCGATGAATTTTCACAACACTCTGACAACTCTCTTCAATGGGAGTGTCCTGGAGCCCTCGTTTCCTCAGGATATGCCTAAGAATTTGGCATATGCCTGTCTATTAATGAGACTCCTTTACGACGTCGCCCTGGACGCCTTCGACAAACCCAGCTTCGCGGCCATTGGCACAAGGTCCCCCTCCCACCGACAATCATCAAGCCTCGAGAATCAGAAGTCCCTGGATTCACCAGGAAGTGGAAAGAGATCAGCGGTGAGCTCTCTGAACCTCAGCCCTCCTCCCCCAGAGCCCATCATCGTGCATCCAGGGATTGTCGTGGGAATGCTGCACCTAGTGCCCTCGATCGAGGAAGCCAGTGTCCCAGAGCTCGCCCTGGCCCTGCAGATTTACGTGGCTGAGGTGATAAAGAGTCTCGTGAGGACCGAGAGGAATCAGCAGGTGATGTGTGACGCAGGTATGGCCGGGGAGCTCTTGACCATGGGGAGGATTGCCCTTCAGGACGAGACTCATCCTCTGCATCAGCCTTTGCAGTACATAATTGAGAGGCTGGCAGCGCAGTCCCTCGAGCCCAAGGATCTTCGAGAATTTTTGAGGCTCGGCGATCCCCTCTGCTGCATCTCCCTCGACGACATCGAGCAGAACAAACCCAGAGGAGGACCTGTACCTCTCACTAGGATAAAAACCCTAGTCTCGATGACAACACCCAAGGACTTCAGAGCTCATGGCTCGTGCACTCTTCCCCCCTTCGTCGAGTTCGATATGAGTGCTGAGGGATTTGCCTGTCTCTATCTCCCCAGCATCGCTCCCCAGAGCACAACCCCTCCGACTGTTGTCTCAGCAGATAACAGTGTCCTGGGAGGCATTGGCTCAGGGGACAGGCTCTTTCCACCCCAGACAGGACTGACCTACAGCACATGGGTCTGCGTTGATAAATTCTCAGACTGCAAAACCGATCCCCATTGCGTGAGACTTCTGACTCTCGTCAGGAGTCCACCCTCAGGTGCCCGAGATCTCATCTGTTTCGCTGCTGTCCTCAGCGCCAGGGACAAGGCAATTATCGTCTCAACCCACGAGACAACGATGCCCCAGAGCAATGGAGAATGGGAGCCAGAGGGAATTGGAGAGAGTGGTGCACGTGTCTGGTGTCCGGATCTCCTCCACGAGGGCCAGTGGCACCACATCGCCATCGTCCTCAACAGAGCTGTCCTCAAGAACTCGAGTTTCTCGTTGTACCTCGATGGCCAGCACATCCAAAGCCAGAAACTCCACTACATCTCTCAGACACCTGGGGGTGGTGCTGCAAACTTAACAGTTGCTTCTCCAGTTTACGGTTACATTGGCACTCCCCCATGTTGGAGAAGATACTCAAGATTGACGTGGAAGCAGGGGCCTTGTCACCTGGTCGAGGAGGTCTTCAACTCCCAAAATATTCTTACACTCTTCAAGCTTGGGCCACACTACATGGGTAGCATGCAGGCCCCTCAATTCATCGGGCCCGAGCCATTTCCAGCGCTCCTCGCTGAAGAGAAAGTTGTTTTTGGTCTGAATGCCAAGGCCATGTCACAGCTGACACTCGCCAAGATCAGGAAGGTCTACAGCAGGGCTGACAACAAATCCATTGCCAAACAGCTGGGGATGTCGTCTCATGAAAACGCCACACCCATCAGAGTCCTCCACAATTCAGCTGGACACCTCAGTGGTCCTGCTAGGGCTTTGGGTGGTGTTGTCGTTGGTTACCTGGGGGTCAGGGTGTTCAATCCACGTCCAGTGGCAACAACCATCGACAACGTTGGAGGCTGTTCAGTTCTTCTTGGATTAATCGCCATGGCGCAGGACGTGGAGTCTCTCTACGCAGCGGTAAAAGCGCTCGTCTGCGTCGTGAGATCCAACCAAGCGGCCCAGCAGGAGATGGATCGCCGTAGGGGATACCAGACCCTCGCGATGCTCCTCAGGAGGAAATGCCCTCTGCTGAACAGTCACATCCTTCACCTGACGTTCAGCCTCGTGGGGACAGTCGACAGTGGACGTGAGACCAGTGCCATTCCCAATGTCACAGCCTTCCAGGATCTCCTCTGCGACCTCCAGGTGTGGCACGAAGCACCTGGAGAACTCCTTCGATCGTTGCTGGAGCATCTGTACGAGCTAGTAGCAGAGTCCAATGAGAAGAGAACTAATCTCAGACTCATGAGAGATCTCCAACTTGTTCATAAATTACTTCATATTCTGGGAGAGGTCAAGCAGAACTCCTCGAGACAGGTGCTCCTGGCTCTTCTGAGTATTCTCCTGGCTCAGCCCAGGCAGGCTGATCTCCTCTGGTTCGGTCAGTTTATCGTAGCGACTCTGCCAGTTGTCTCTGAGAAGCACCTGATACCCAGGGAGAATGAGGGCCTCAAGGAAGGCGAGGGTGAGATTATTTTACTGAGGAACAGGTGTCTTCAGCTACTTCACTCTCTACTATTCAATGGCAACAAAGTTAATGCAGCAATGTGCGACGAGTTGGCCAAGATTCTGGGACTCGACTGGGTCCTCTTGTTCCTCCAGCCCGGCCTCCACAGCACCACTGTCGTCTGGGGGCTGAGAGTCCTCGTTGCGGTGTGCTCCGTTCAGCCAATCCTCCAGAAATTCAAGGATGGCACGAGCAATGGAGGATGGCTGAGGCACACCGATCACAATAAAATGGCAATGGCCCTGGGTTGCCAGCAGCAGAATGCTCCAGGAGAGGTTAAACCCTCTGGACTACACGTTCCAGGATTTCAACACTTGGGTTGGTTACTACCTCAACATGTTGATCTTGTTCCGGAGCTTTATTTCCTGTTTATCGCCCTGATGATGGGACAGCCCATCAAACTACTGCCAGCTGACTCCAAACTCGAGCTTCATAATGTCTGGAATTTCATGTTTGGAGTAGCCGCCAATCACTCGTTGTCCTCCTTTGCCTCCAGAATAAATCTCTGTCCTGATGCTGTTGTTACACTTTTAGCTATGGTCAGGACAATGCTCAACATGCACTTCAACTCGCCGGATGGTATTCCAGAGTGGCTGAACGATTATCCAGTGACGATTATTCAATTTTTATTCTTTCTCTACCACAACTTCACGGATTTTATGCAGGTATTCATGTCGGCTGAGGTATTGGGGGCACTCGCTGGAACTCTATTCCCAAAGCCGTCGAGTGGATCACAAGACAGCAGTGGAGCTAGTACACCAGCTGACGACCAGGAGCCAGTGCTTGTGAGATCTCCATCGAAGGACATTGGACTGACGAATCATTCGGCAAGAAAATTCGTTATGGATTTTCTGAGGGTCATTGTAGTTGACTCTCTGTCGCTACCTGTCACTGCTAAATCACCAAGGGTGATTGATCTTGTCCTGGAGGCATGGCCGGAGTACGCCTCCACAGGACAGCAGACGAGGTATCAAACTGAGATTCTGTCGATTCTGATGGAGCACCTTCTGGCTGCTGATGTTCTCATTGGGGAGCAGGCAGCACTGCCAGTGGTACCTGGTGGCTCTGCCAACAATATCACGAGTAATGTGTGCTACGTAGCCGCGAGGATAGTCGATAAGCTGTGGCAGGGAGCCCTCACGAAAGATCCCCACGAGATCTTTGATTTCATTGTTAAACTCATTGGTCAAGCCAAGAGGCGACCTGGGGCTGTCAGCATGGAGGGCCTCCACCAGTGCCTCAACAGAACAATTCTCTTCTTGCTGTCGAGAACAACCGATTCCATCGCCGATCAGATGGCTGTCCTAGAGGCCCTCCACAAATTGACGACTCATCGACTCCTGGTGTTTGGTGCTGGCAATCACGAGCCTGAATTCATCAGCTGTCTGACCTACTGTCTCCTCCAGCTCACAGCTGACATAAAAATCATGCTCGATACCAATATCAAGACAACGTGGCATGTCAATCCCCAGGTGGAGTCGAGTGACGATCGTCTGACCTCTCATCAAGGTCACAATCTCATGGCAGTGGCAGCAACACGAGTCTGGGAGGAGCTCTACGTCTGCAAAAAGCCCGCCATCGAGGAGGTCTTCAAGATCACCCTACCACCACCGATTGGCAACGAAAGAGCGCCAGAACTCACAGCTGTTCGAGAGTTGGTGCACGAGCAGGCGACCAGACTCTGGCTCAACTACGTAGTCCTGGAGAGAAAGGCCTCGTACAGGGGCCCCTGGGAGCTTCACAATCAGATTCAATCGAAAATCCAGAAGGTGACTGGTGGACTGACACGACTCGCCAGCAGGACAAAAGTACGAAAGGAAGAGTCAATAAGACCTAGACTGCGACTCCATCACAGCACAGTTGCCCAGTGGACAGAGCAGCACGTTGCACTTGTTCGTGAACTCGCAGCTTCCAAAAAACTTCAGCAACAGCAGACGTATCAGCACACCCAGAGATACGTCTACCAGGAGTGGCTGCAGACCGAGACTGAATTAACGAGGGAGAGGGGCCTCTGGGGCCCACCAACAGCAACAATTCTGGATAAGTGGATGCTGGACATGACTGAGGGGCCTTGCAGAATGCGCAAGAAAATGATGAAGAACGAGCTGTTCTACATTCATTATCCCTACAGACCAGAGCTAGATCATCCTGACAATAAACAACTGAAGTACAAGGTTGCAACGAGCAACGACAGCAAAGAGTACTATTTGAAGCAATTGGGGAATAATTCTGGGATGTTCGAGAGGGAGAGGGATCCAGTGATCGATGACACTCCCCTGAATGTAAACGAGGGATCGACTGAGAGCGAGCCACCGATGGTGCCCTGCACTCTGGAGCGTCATGCCAGCGAGCCTGATGAGACGACTGAGGATAACGAGCAGGAGGAGGAGAATCAGGCTGTGCCTGACAATCAGACACTGTTGAGACTCCTCGAGGAGCACGAGAAGATCAGTCACATGTTCAGGTGTGCCAGGATTCAGGGGCTCGACACCACCGAGGGTTTACTACTCTTCGGAAAGGAACACTTCTACGTAATCGATGGATTCACCCTGTTGAAGAGCAGAGAAATAAGGGACATCGAGAGCCTTCCAGACGCCTACGAGCCCATTCTCCCATCTCCGGGCTCCCCCAGGAGGTCTCGAGCTATGAGACAGTGCTCGAAATTCAATTACGAGGACATCAGAGAGGTACACAAGCGTCGATACCTTCTCCAGCCGATGGCACTCGAGGTTTTCTCTGGAGATGGTAGGAATTATCTCCTGGCGTTCCCTAGAAAAGTCAGGAATAAAGTTTATCAGAGATTTATGACATTTGCCACGGCAATTGCTGACAGTGCTCATCAGTCAGTGGCGGGACAGAAGAGAACAGCTAATGTTGAACAGGCAACTGGTCTTTTATCGAATTTAATTGGAGAGACATCTGTCACTCAGCGTTGGGTCAGGGGTGAGATATCGAATTTCCAATATCTGATGCACCTCAATACTCTGGCTGGAAGGAGCTACAATGATCTCATGCAGTATCCCATTTTTCCCTGGATCCTGGCTGACTACGATGCGGAGGAGATTGACTTCAATGAGCCATCGACCTTCAGGGATTTTACGAAACCAATGGGTGCTCAGAGCCCTGAGCGACTCCTGCAGTTCAAGAAGAGGTACAAAGAGTGGGACGATCCACACGGGGAAACACCACCCTATCATTTTGGTACTCATTATTCATCAGCGATGATCGTGTGTTCGTACCTAGTGCGAATGGAGCCCTTCACTCAGCATTTTTTGAGACTCCAGGGTGGCCACTTCGATCTCGCCGACAGGATGTTCAATAGCGTGAAGGAGGCGTGGCTGTCAGCCTCCAAACACAATATGGCTGACGTTAAGGAGTTGATCCCCGAGTTTTTCTACCTCCCCGAGTTCCTGGAGAACTCCAATCACTTCGATCTGGGGTCTAAACAGTCAGGGGTTCAACTCGGTGACATTGTCCTGCCACCGTGGGCCAAACAGGATCCCAGGGAGTTCATAAGGGTCCACAGACTCGCTCTGGAGTGCGACTACGTCTCCCAGAATCTCCACCACTGGATCGATCTCATCTTCGGGTACAAGCAGAACGGTCCAGCAGCTGTTGACGCTGTCAACGTATTTCATCATCTCTTCTACGAGGGAAACGTTGACATTTACAACATAGACGATCCCCTGAAGAAGAATGCTACGATAGGATTTATCAATAACTTCGGGCAGATCCCGAAGCAGCTATTCAAGAAGCCCCATCCCTGTAAGAAGATGAGTGTGAGGACGTCGGTGATAGATCCAGGACCCATAACCCCGGGGCTCAGCATCACAGCGTCTGATCGCCTCTTCTTCCACAATCTCGACAACCTCAAGCCCTCGCTCCAACCCATCAAGGAGCTCAAAGGTCCTGTCGGGCAGATCCTTCACGTTGATAAATCTGTTCTTGCTGTGGAGCAGAACAAGTGTCTGATACCCCCATCATTCAACAAGTACGTTGCCTGGGGTTTTGCTGATCACTCCCTCAGGATAGGTAACTACGACTCTGAAAAGGCGATTTTTGTCTGTGAAGCTATGATGCAGAGTAGTGGAGAAATAGTTGCCTGCGTTTGTCCCTCCTCCAAGCTCATCGTGACAGCTGGCACCAGCTCTGTGGTGACTGTCTGGGAGTACTCGAAACGTCAGTTATCGATAAAGCAGTGCCTCTATGGGCATACCGAGGCAGTGACCTGTCTGGCTTCATCACCAGCTTACAATGTGATCGTGTCAGGCTCCAGGGATGGCACAGCGATCATCTGGGATCTGTCGAGGTGCCTCTTCGTGAGACAGCTGAGGGGCCACGCCGGACCAGTGGCTGCTGTGGCTATCAATGATCTCACTGGTGACATTGCTACCTGTGCTGCCACTTGGCTTCACGTCTGGAGCATCAACGGTGAGGAATTGGCAAGTGTCAATACGTGTGTGGGAAGGGCTGACAGAATGCAGCAGATCCTCTGCGTGGCATTCAGTCAGACCCACGAGTGGGACTCGCAGAATGTCATTATGACTGGGAGTACTGATGGTGTCGCCCGGATGTGGTCGATGGACTACGTCCAGGTACCCGAGGAGGAGAAACTCGAGACTGTCGTTAAAGAGGAGAAACGAATTGAGGGTGAAAGAACGCAGAATACTAAGAAGAGGGTTCACGAGCTCGTTAAGCAGATGAGTATATCAGCAGAGGAAGCGGGGATGTTGATGAAGAGTGGTAGTGAGAGCAGTTTGTCGGAGGCTGAGGGCACCAAGGAGGCCCTCAGGGTGCACGAGGAGAAAGAGGAGTGCTCCGATAATGAATCGAGTAATGGATCTGTCCACAAGGGCACGAGAAGTGCACAATCACCCACTGTTGTTCTCAGAAGGAAGAGCAGGGGTAATCCCATGTTCAGGAAGAGTGAGGGAGGAGGCAGGGCTGATAGTGAGGGGACCAGGGTGGATGAGGTTGCTGCTGCTGTTGACACCGAGGGTGCGTTGAGAACGAGCAAGAGTGATACCAGTCTCACTGACAGCTTCGTCATGGTCAACGAGTCTGACACCAAACCCAAGAGGATCAATCTGCAGAATGTACTCCGGGAGGGATTCAAGTGGCAGAGACAGCTCGTCTTCAGGAGCAAGCTCACCATGCACACGGCTTATGACAGGAAGGACAATGCTGAACCCGCGTCAATTGCTGCTCTTGCTGTATCGAGGGATCACAGAACTGTTTATGTCGGGGATACCAGGGGAAGGGTTTTCTCCTGGAGTGTCTGCGAACAGCCGGGGCGAACCGTCGCTGATCACTGGTTGAAGGATGAAGGAGCGGACTCTTGTGTTGGGTGTGGCGTCAGGTTTAATATTTATGAGAGAAGACATCACTGCAGGAATTGCGGACAAGTTTTCTGCTCCAAGTGGGTTCCCGATTAATTATAATTATGTATCAATTTATAAAAAAAAACATTTTTAATTGAAAATTCCCATTTTCAACTGCAGGTGCAGCAGATTCGAGTCTAAAATATCACGACTAGGAATATTGAAGCCTGTACGTGTCTGTCAAGGATGCTACGCCTCCCTGAGAACCCAGAATTCACTGGAAAGCAACAACACCTAATAGCAGAGCTCCAAGACCTTTCTACGTAGCTAGATGATTCTAAAAAGAAAAACCACCAAATGTCCTTCCACATGATTTTATTATTGATATATAGTTCCAATCGTGAGTACCATTTATCACAATATTTCATTGAGCCATTGGAGGATAACGATTTATTGAACAAATTGGATATCTTCGATGCGATGATTTTCCACTGGCCCTGTCGAAGATTGATAATTTCCATTTGTCATTGTTTCTCAGAGAAATATAAAGAGAATAGACGTAAGGATCGTTGATAGAGCCTACAGAATTATTTGTTTCCGTTCCCCAATGGGGATGATGTTAAACGTATTTCTGTACAATGTATAATCATGAATGTTAGGATTTAAGGGCTGATGCATTACTTACAATCTGTGATTTTTTTACTCGTCTCTTAACGAATTATTTTCAATAAGTTTTATTATTTTATTTAAAACCACTCAATTATTATTTAAAGAAGAATGATCAATTTACGTTTATTACATTTCCATGTTTTACTTCATTTTGGATTTTTTTTTCAATTTCGATGAATTTTTTTAATGAATCTATCAATCATTTAAAGACACTGTGCTATCATAGACAATACCATATTCGCATAAGATGTCTGAACAAATAATGAAAAGAACAAATATCTTGAGTAAATCCACCTGTGAGAGAAAATTGATGAAAAAATTCCATAAAAAGTTTAAAAAAAGAGGGAAAAATTTGATACAAAAAAAAATGAAGAGTAAACGGCTTAGCATAGAGTTACTATACGTGTGTATAGAGTTTAATGTGAAATTATTTAGACTAATAGTTTATAACAATCATGACCTATTGAATAGAATGAGAGCTTGGGGAATCTTCAGGAGACAATCGACTCTCGATAATCATAAATCATTCCTCGAAGATTTCTGAAGCTATAAATTAAGGGATGATGATTCGCGATGGAAGTATTAATTAAACGGTGATTTATTCCGTTGCATCAAAGAGAAGCCAAATCCATCGCAGAAACAAGGCTGAATCAGTGCTGTATAAAAAAAATTATCACGAGCAATATTATCTATTGTTAAATTATGAATTAGTTGAATTGAATATCGTAGGTGAGGAGTAGTTGGTAGGGGTGCAGGATAATTATTGAATGTTTGAAACCCAAGAGATTGGAGGTATCGAATAATTTTGTGTAAAGATTTGACGTAAAATTGAAATTTCAGAATGTTCTCTCGTTTATTATCGTCAGATTTTTGTGTTACTCGTCTTGAAATTATTTCTCATGGTAAATTCTTTAAATAATGAGATTGTGGCGAATGTTTCGTGAATATTTAATTGTGTAAAATCCAAAGAACGAAGGCACAACAGTAGTCTAGTCACAAGTGTGTCGTGCCTTTTGCATGAATTTGTCCGATTGATTTAATTTTTTCTTTCGAATCGACAAATCAGTATGGATTGACCTTTTAATATTTACCAGTATTATAAATTGATTTAATATATTTTTAATTGTACATAAGAACAATATAATTTATATCCGTCGTGAATTGGTTTTAACAAAAGATTTAGATAAAAAATAATCGTGTGTCTTTGTTGGGATAATTTAAATTAATTGTGATATTGCATTATTTTTTTTTGTCCATCGGTTGGAGTCTCAGTGTTTAAAAATCATCTGGAGGATAAGTAAATCGATTGATAATCGTTTTGTTTCTGGTAATTGTAGTAACGATACATGTGAATATAACACCTGAGAGTATGAAAAATAATTCACCAACTTTGTTACATTAAACGGATAAAACATGAATAACAATTGGTAGCTACTGAATATCTTGAAGTGTATATAATGACGCGAGTAAAGAGAAATAATTAACTAGCACGGAATGGCTTCTATCGCCCAGACATAAAAAGCACGATCAGTAGATTATAAATTGATTATACATAACAAAGGAAATAAAGATGAATGAAATAAATATATATTATACATGACTTTATCTCTGATTTTTATTGTTATAATATTAATCGTTTATTCAATTAATCGATTAAATGATCCTCGAATTATTTGAAGGTTGAACGAATGAAAATTGAATTTTAACTATTGAAATTACAATCGATTAATAATATTCATTCGATCCAAATAATTCCGGAATTGTTTCAGAGATTATTTAAATTAATTAATGGTAAACAATACATTAGTAAATAATATAAAAATAGATCGATAACACTCAGACTTTAATGCATGACGCCTCGTGTTTCTTTAGTCGATATGCGTAAAAACCTCGTTTGCACTTGGAGCACTGAACCAGCTGTGCCTTGTGCTGCTCCCAGTCGACTTCAATCTTGTTGATATCTACAACGTTGATCCTTGATTAGTAGAGTTGATGGGTTTAAAATTCTAAAAAGGATGTACCTTCTGGGGGTGGCAATTCTTCTTCGTCAGGTTCGCTTTTGGGGAGGGGGAGAGTCTCCTCAGCGAAGGCGGGGTGATCAGGGTGATCTTTAGTCACGTCTTTTGTGGATTTTGTTGGGAGAGGACTGCGAGCAAGCTGACGACGTGGCAGCATGGGATTGAAATCCTGGTGACCAAGGGTCTCCTCCTTCGATGGCTTGCCTCGTTTTGATTTTTGGGGTTTTGGTGAGGCACTAGTGACCGAACTCTCTGGGGATGTCACTATCTCATTTCCCTGATTTTTCCCGTTATTCTCGTTCTCTTTATTCTCGTTGTCCCCTTCGGGATCCTGAAAAAGTCAAAACACATGGATGTAAACAGACATCAGAGACAAATTGATTTATGATGGATGTAAAAGGTAAACAGATTATTATTCTTAAAATTCCTGAAGACCAATTTTCATGCATAAAAATGTAGAAATAAATAAATAACAATTCCTCGTCTTTAAAATCAGATGATATCCATCGAAAATTGTGTAATCACAACATTCCAAGAATTTTAAAAACCAGAATACAGGGCAGAGCAATTGTTCACCTGATTTTGACATGCATCACTGCATTTGCATGTGGATAGGCAGTAAAAATCCTTCTTGACGCATCCACAAATTTTCGTGGAGCAGTTGCCCTTGCAGGAGCAACCCTTGTCCTTGGGTTTGGGTTTGCCCTGTCCAGTGGAGGATCTTCTGCCCTTGGAAGGTCCAGGAGTATCAGCACTTGCCTCTTTTCCTTTTTTTCCAGGTGTCTCTGGGGGTTGTGAGCCTGCCTTCACATGTTTACGCAGTGTCTTCACCTCAATTGTCAGCAGCTTCACCTGCTCCTGAAGACTAGCAATAATGTCGTCCTTATTCTCATCTGGAGAATCCGGCGTGTCATCCTCGTCCACTGCCTTCAATTTTCTGCATAAAAAATCCCAGACTCATTCATTTTCCTTCTCCTCATTATCTCATTATGAATTTTTCTTCTATTTAAACAATTCCAACTTCTCAATTGATTTTAATAAAAAAAATTCCAGAATCATAAAAATCCCAAATTTAATACAGAATGAACAATCAAAAATAGAAAAATTTTCCAATTCATCTTTTTGTTGTAAATATCGACTAATCAACAAAAAAAGATGATTGGAGCGAAATTAATTGAAGAGTAATGAATGATTTACTCACTTGAGTTTCGTGGCCTTGGGTTTTTCAGCCTCAGATTCAGACTTCTGCTTCGCAGGTCGTCCCATCCTGTCCCAACACTTTGAAAAAATAAAATCCAAATAACCGATGACAATTATGTTGCTAACCGGAATACCGAGAGTCACCAAATCACCACTGACCAGTCTCAACGGTTCCACAAAATTCAAAAGGAAAACCCTGCGATGTTGCTGTCCAATGTTGCCAAAATCTCTCAACAGATAAAACAGAAGTTCTCCATCTCCACTGATGGCACCAGAAATCCCCCGAAATAAAACCGCCATTGGACTCAAAGAGGATAGGTTCCCTGAAGGGGAATCGTATCTTTGCCAAACCCGACGTTCCGACATATAGGGAAGGGTATAAGTGCAATTTTTTTTCAAATTTATAAAATTGCAATTATCTCGTTTCCTATGAATTCAATTGATATTCAAAATAATTTGGATATCAATTCAGTGATGAAAATTAACTGGAGAATATCTTCTAGTTTCTTCCGCTATATTTTTAAAATTCAATATAAAAAAACGTCTAATGGGAGATGAGGCCCAATTAATTTCAGATAATTTCGTTTGAAGGAATCGCCGACTCCTGGGGACGGCATGTCCTGGTTGGGGTTTATGTGCAATTTTTGGAGCAGCTCTTGGTGATCCTGTCGCTGAAAATGTCTGAAAATGTCTGAAATGTTATTCAGAAAGATTAGATAAGCCTCCACTCCCGGCTCATAGTGCGTTCCCGATGCAGAGCACATAAGAGACGGGGTATCTGGTCCGACAGCTTCAGTTTATTATCGTCGCGTCTTAAATAAGTAACATTAAAAATAATAAAAAATAATAGAGCACTCAGTACTCACCGGTAGACGATCATCCCCTGAAGAAGTTGTGGTGCAAAAATGCTGAAGTCTGCCATCAGATTTGACTGATCGAATCACCAAAACCATCACCTGGACGAACATCCGGAGGAAATAACCCGGATAAATAGTTCCCCAGCTGTTGAATAATGGAATTAACCGGTGAAAGTTCTTAATAGGGTGCCATGACACCCGGAGGATCAATCAGTCTGAAATCCACGAATAAATCTGAAGGAATAAATCATCAATCGAGTTATTAATTGAATATTGATATAAATTGAAGATGCCGGCGTGTTCAAGTGAGAATATGCCCCGATATTACCGATCTCCTTCATCTTCGAGGTGCAGTAGTGCATCCCCAGTGCTTCCCAACTCTCCCCTGTCGACTTCTCCTAAATCATCGCACCCCATGACCCTGAGCCCGTCGACCTCCACCAGCAGTTCGATCTCCACTTGGTCAAACTCCTCGCAGACTCGACCCTCTCGCAGTCCCCAGGATGATCCGTGCACCAGGAAATCTCAATCCTCTCCTCGAGACGTCAGATCAGTCCTGAGAGTGTGTCACCTCCTGTCCCCGAGAAGGCTCATCTCCTGGTACTTTAGCATTCTCCTGAGTATCATGAACACCATCTACGAGGCACTCCTCTTCACCATTCGTGCACCAGCGCTCTGGGCGTCAGCTTGGCTCTGCCTCGTCGTGGTGATTCTCCAGCTGCCGCTGACAATTATCAAGTGGTTACTCATGCTCCTCCATACACCGGCGTCAGAGCTCACCCGGAGGAAACGATGTGTCCTGATCAGTGGTGGTAGCACAGTCCAGGCTGTCCACCTCGCACGTAATTTTCACAAAGCTGGTGCCCGAGTGATCATCTGCGAGGTGGAGGGCCTCTTCAGTCTAGCTAGATTCTCCACTGCCTGTTCGAAATTCTACACAATCCCGAAACCAGGACCAGGCAGCGCTGCTGATTACGTCAACGCCCTGAAAACAATCGTCGAGAGAGAGAGGGCAGTGTACTACATCCCAGTGTCAGCCGCCAATGCAGCGTACTACGACGCCCTGGCAAAGCCCCACCTGGAGCTAGCAGGTTGCGAGTGTTTCGTACCAGGTGCATCAGAAGTCACGGCCCTGGACGATCCCCTGGAGCTTCTACGGAGGTGTCGCCTCCTCGGATTGACTACACCAGTGCACTTTGTCCTGAGATCCACAGAGGACATCGCTGCCCTCTACGAGACCGGCGCTCTGAGGTCGAGCAGGCACGTGATGCTGGCAGCAGGTCCATCCGGGATGAGAGACCGTGCGAAGGTCCACCTGCCACTGAATCCCGAAGAATTCAGGGGGATGCGACAGGAAATAAGCGAGAGACGGCCCTGGGTGATCATTCGTAATCCTGGTGGTCCTCACTTCATCACCTGCACAACCGTCAAGGACTCCAGAGTCGTGGCAAATGTCACCTGTCGAGTCGACGAGGACAAGGGACTCATTCCCGAGGTCCGGGGCGATGTCGCCCAGTGGCTCGACAGATTCTTCGCCCGATCATTCAGCAGCCGGATCAACGGGCACCTGAGCTTTCGCCTCGTTATCACCGGTGACGAGGTCATCACCATCGGCTGCAGAGTTGGTGTTGGTATGCCCTACGTCTGCCTCACCAGTGTACATCCCAGGCTCGTCTGGAGGCCCTGCAGGCACTTCTCCAGGCAGAATTCAGGACCTCTTCTCGTTGGGGAGGAGTACCAGGGCAGGGGCGCGTTCCCCAGTGCCATCAAGCAGGCGTCAACACTGAAAATCAATCCTCATCGGTGCCCCATTGACAAGAGGGAGGCCCTCTTCGTGTACTGGGATCCACTACCCTATTGTGTCTACTATCATCTTCAGCTACCTCTTCTCAGGATTGCTGGAGCTTTTCGAGAACGTGCCCAGCATAATCCTCCGTTGGCTGTTGTCGTACAGTAGTTTTTGGGCTTGAGGGAAAACCAATGCTCGATCATTACCTCCAGGAAGACCTCCAGGTTCATCGCGGGTTCAAATGATAGAAATAAACGAGAGGTGGAGGTGCGAATCCATTGATTTTTTTTTCTGGAATCGGAGGCATCATCACGTGAATTACCTGGAGAAGGACCAGGTGAATTACCAAGGGAATCACCAGTGGAATCGCCAGGGAAATTACCAGGAGCATCACCAGGAGCATCACCAGGAGCATCACCAGGAGCATCACCAGGAGCATCACCAGGAGTACCTGCGGAAAGGCCAGGAATACCTGCAGAATCACCCGGTGAATTACCAGTGCACCAACGACTTTTCATTGATTATATTTAATCATCATTCTGGACTCCTTGAAATTATATTAGTTAAGCTGAATGTCGACCTGAACCTCTGGAGACACTCGTCCGGATAATGCGATGTGAGTGAATGTCTTGGGTCATGCGTGTCATTATTATCGCGTATTTAAACCGATGGATTTGCCTCTTATTTTTATTTTTTAAACAGTTGTTTATTATTTTATGCTGATCAGCTGCAAGTGTGGGGAGTACTTGGGGTTTTGATGATATTACTAAATTAGAGACTGAAAGAGATGTGGACTGAGTGGAAAATATTTCATTGTTTTATCGGGTAAACGCTGATATTGGGGCTGCGAGTCAAAGTGCTAAGAGAAGACTTCATGACGAGATCAATTATCGATTACTGTATGATCATATTGTACAAATTATTTTTTTAAGGATTATTGTAATAGGATTTGTACAGAATATATTGAAAATCGAATTCTTGAAAAGGTCTCCCCATTTTTTTATAACAATCCTTTTTTTTATCTCCAAATTGCTCAATCCCAATAACTTTAATTTGTTATTAAAAAATAAATCCGTAAATTGAATTGAATTCAATATAAAATTCCATTGAATTTCTCCAGGATTTTGTTGACAACAATTTATTTATGGATATTGCAAAAAAATCGTTTATTAGATTGGATACGTTTTTTTAATTAACAAATTACAATAGATTATGAAAATTAAATACAGATTATTGTGGAGTGATTGGCATTGAGGAATGAGCGAATTTTTTAGTAATATTCATTAACAATTTTGATGATAATTGTTATTCAGAGATTTTTATTTGTTGATGCAATTAATTCTGTTGCACTATATTTATTACTAATCTCGGCCCTGATTCCAAGGGTCAAAGTCCTGTTGTCTCTGATGCGATGAGATTACGAATTATTATTAATCTTGTTATTATCTCATTCCTCTCAGTATCAATTATGGGTGTGGTGGATCGTCTTTATCGTCACCAGAGGATTAACCGGGAAAAATTGCATTAATTATGTCACAATCACCAGAAGATCATGAAGAACTTCGTCCGGACATTTGCGGAAATAGCGCAAAATTCATTGAAATGTTAATTAATTATTCAATAACTATAAATAATTGATTTATTTTATGATTTATTTTATGAGATGCATTTCCGTCTTCGCCTCGATTTTTCCTATTTTTCGGACTCCGCGGTAACAACAAATTGATTAACAAATAGATATCTGTAAATAATTAGCAAATATTTCAAAATTTTTTATTGATAATTTCTGATAAAAATGGAACGAATCTGGAATTCGGAAAATTTGAAAATACGAACTGAGGAGATTCTACATAAAATATTATAATATAAATATAAATATTACTCCAGAAAGCCTAATTAATTAATTAAAAAAAGAAAACGTTTATTAAAATTTTCTCTAGAATGTTTAAATAAAAAAAATTCATTAAAATGATAAAAGTAAAGTAGGAGTAAAAATCCAGAGGATTAATATAAATATTATTTATCAGTCATATTGTTTATAAAATAGCGAAGATGAGATGAAATTCGGTGGTAACGAAAAATGCATTAACAAATAAATATGTGGACAGGATTTGGATAATGACTGGCGCTTCACCCGCGGACTTTGATATGACGGGGTTATCAGTCTCTCCCCCACTCATTTCCCCTTTTATTTTCCTTTTTCATAATTTTCACGAGCATTTGACATCACGCTATCTTCCTCCCACACTTTGGAATAGATTTCACTGGATTCTAGGGGAGATGGACCGATCGAATGACTATTTTCATTCATTATGGAGTTATTATCGGAGCAACTGCTCAAGCCTTGAGAAATTTTGCTATCTCAATTGTTCATGAATAAAAAATAAAACGGTAATTACATTTTTCGATATCTCACAATATTTCTGTTATTCATTTAATTATTTCGATAATTACTTCTCTGTGAAAAATTAATAATAAATGAAAATGAATAATAAATAAAAATTAATAATAGACAAAATAACTCAATTGATTAATAATGAATTAGTAATTAATTATTTATTTATTCATATAAATAATTCTAGTCTATCAGTTTTCCCCTATTGTTTAAATGTAAATTAATTCCTGATTTATTACCCCTCGAATTTAATTGTTTATGAATAATTAATGACGGGGTAATTGTTTATTTAGATCTCCACAATATTCTTGTTGTTCGTTTAATTATTTGGAGAATTATTTAATCACGAGAAATTGATGATGAGTGAATGATCAATAAAATTAATCAATTTGTTGGTAATAATTAATTATGAATTTATTTCCAGTTTTGTTTTTGAAATATAAATTAATTGCAGATTTATTTTCACTCGGATTTTATTGTTTATGAATAAAAAAAACTCACGGTATTTTGTTGTCATTAATTTTCGAATTTCAGGAATTATTTAACAGTAAGAATTTATTGTTGAAAATATTTTATAATTTTTTCGCCGATGCTTTATAAAAACAAATGTTTAAAAAAATCCATTTCAATTTTCCCTCTCCCTCGATATTTTTAATGAACAAAAAGTAAACAATTCCGTGAAAATTTCTGGGGGAAATGAAAATCCATCAGTTTTTCCAATGGATAAATTTCCAAAAGGAGAGGGGGAATTATTCATCAGACGCTTCAAATGTTTAGAAAAATTACTGGATTTTTTCTCGATTAATGTACCAAGATAATTACAATTTTAATGCACGCGACATCCGCGTGTTGATAAAGAGTTTCTCCTCGCGGATTGCGACGAGGGATACAGAAGTAAAATAAATAAAATAAAAATAAATGAACGGAGTAAGAAGAGTAGAGGGTTATCCCGAGTTCTTCCTTGGAGTTTTATTATCACGAGTTCCTTGACGACCGAGTTAAATAAATCGATAGGTAACAAACCGAGAGTTTCCTTTTCTTTATTCCCTCCATCGTCTAACGACTTCTTCCCTTCTTCCCTTTTTCCCCAATTCCATTTCTTCGTTAAAAAAAAAATTTGACTTTCCAAGGGTTCGTTCCCCCGACTAGCATCACGCGATTTTAACATACGATAAATTTTCATCGAACCTTTAAAAAAAAATAAATATTTTTGCTAAATATCCGGTCGAGAGAAGTATTCAATAATTTCAGTACCGAAGTGGTGAAATAGGATAAGTACATTTTTTTCGAGGCGAGTTTTTAGCCGATATCTCGGAATTGAAGGGGCATAGCGATTTTTTTGTGGAAACATTTTTTATAGAAAATTATGAGAGCTGGAAAAAAGGTTCTTATGAAAATATCGTTATCTTCCTTCAATTCCGAGATATTCGCTGGAAACTCGTCTCGATAAAAAATTCACTTCTCCTAGTTTAACACTTGGCAACAGATTTATTGCAGTAATTCTCCAGTCGAGTATTTTCCAAGGGATTTCCATTGGTTTTCAATAGCAACAATTATATCGCTCTCGAAGATGATCCTGTCAATGACAGCCTTGAGTGAATTCTCTCGGTAATCAGTAAGATTGAAAAAATCTTTTTAAAAAATTTTTCAAATAAAAATATTCGAAATTAATAACCATCGGAGGAGTCCACCCCAGGTCATACCCATCATAATCATCCTCGAGAGCCACATGCTCATGATAATTAAAACCTAATCCCAATCGTCTCTAGGTAATTAGACTGGAGGAATACCACATGCAAAAATTAAATTAATCAAGTAAAAATAATTCACCAGCAATTTTTTTTTCCTGAGTATCAGGATTGGAATGAAAACAGGATTTATCGTACCTCAGTGACTCCCCAGGAATTTTCCTCAATTGCGTAAATGATCAGTAATTATTATTAATCCCGATATTCGGAAAATTCTGCTGATGCAAAAAGGTTATCAGCGGCATTATAATTACATTAGTATAAATCATCAACTAATGATTTTTCCATCGGCTTATCACCAGTTAAAAAAACAAATTAAATGCGCCATTTTTATCAGTTATTATTAATTCTCAACGCTCGTTTTTTAAAAACATTATTTCTACAAAATATTTATTTACTCAAAAGACGCATAAATTTTTATAAAAACCTCATTCCCCCAGGGGACCTCTCCTAATTATTAATAATAATAACAATATCGCTCTAAAAGATGATAATGTGGGTCATGACCTTGGAAAAACTCGCGAAATACTCATCAGCATTAAAAAATTCGGTCAATACCTTCAAAACTCAAAAAATTTGTTGTAAAAAATTAATAACAATAAATAGAGAGAGAGAGAGAAAGAGAGAGAGATTATCACATGACACACCTCAATCAATCACTGAATAATTAACAACTAATTAATTAATTAAATTGATTACACTGACAATTTCTGACGTTCAGGCGTTTTGGAGTTTTTTTTAATTAAAAAAATGCGATTGGAGGGAATTTATTCATAATGTTTATTTATTTATTTTTGTTTCATTGAATTTTCGTGAGTCATGAGTATGAGACATTGGCATCGGATCTTAGCGTGTCTTCTAAAAATTCTATCACACCCCAATTAATCACTGAATAATTAACAACTAATTAATTAATTAAATTGATTACACTGACAATTTCTGGCGTTCAGGCGTTTTGGAGTTTTTTTTTATAAACAAAATGGGATTGGAGGGAATTTATTCATAATGTTTATTTATTTATTTTTGTTTCATTGAACTTTCGTGAGTCATGAGTATGAGACATTGGCATCGGATCTTAGCGTGTCTTTTAAAAATTCTATCAGACACGGAAGACCTGAACTCCATCATAGTTTGTCAAGGAACTTTATTCCTGGTTTATTCCTCATCGTCTTATTGCTCTCGTTGAAAACATGCGCAGCAATGATTCTTCATTCGTGACGACAGCAATTGCTTCCGGTACTTCTGTCGATTTCGTGTTTTTCATCGGTTTCATGGAGTTTTTCAGGGATGCGTGTTACATTTTGGGGGATCGTTGGTAATGGCTGAGGAGCATGATGATACGGGAAAAACTGGCCTTTTTTTTTGGTGCTCTGGAGCGTGTTCATCGATTTTTAAAGACCATCTGAGATTTATTCGGTGAGGAATTCGCGGGAATTCGCGGAAATTCGCGGAAATTCGCGGAAATTCGCGGGAATTCGCGAGAATCCGCGGGAATTCATTGGCGCTAAATTTCAATCTGATATTTTTCATTTCGTAAAGATTTCCCACTGGAAAATCATTTGTTAACGTAAAAATGGGGATTTAATTAATAATTCTAATTAATTGAATCATTAATCAATTTGTTTATATTTTTATATTTTTATTTTTGTGGATTTTATGGATTTATAGAACAATTGGATTCCAATCCATGAAATCCATTTTCAAAACCGCGGTTTTTAAATAATTAATTAATCGTTCGTTTTGAGAATAAAAAATTTATAAAAAAATGAGTATTAATTAATGGATTAATTATGATTCAACGAAATTCAAAATTTCAATGTGGTATTTTTGATTTCGGGAAGACTTCCCGCTGAAAATCATTTGTGAACATAAAAATGGGAATTTAATTAATAATTCTAATTAATTCAATCATTTATTTATATTTTTATATTTCTATTTTTCTGGATTGATAGAACAATTGGATTCCAATCCATGAAACCAATTTTCAAAACCGCGATTTTTAAATAATTAATTAATCATTCGTTTTGAGAAAAAAAAATTTATAAAAAAATGAGTATTAATTAATGAATTAATTATAATTCAACAAAATTCAATATTTAAAACATTAAAAAAACTCTCATTCAAAAATAAAAAAAAAGATGAAACTAAAAAATCGAATTCCAAAAAACATAATTAACGTATTAATTTTAAAAAATTGTAATTAAAAAAATAATTGAAAAAATCGATAAAAATATCTGGGAATGTTGAGGCAGTCGATGAGACGTATCAATCCCGGACTCTCCATAAGTTATAAAAAATGTCGGAGCCCATGAAGAAAAAAATATATATCGACGGTGGAAAAGGGGGTGGAAGCCCTTGGGGCACGCGATCCAACCCTCGGGGTAGGGATTTGAAGCGAGGTGGTAGTCAGTAAGGATTCAACGGCACTCGCGAACACACCGGAAGTACCTTCCGGTACTTTTTCGGAAGTACTTCCTTGGGGTCCGTCGTTGGGCTCCATAACGAGGCCCTGAGAACCGATTGGCCGCCCGACTCCCTCCAGCATCACCTTTTGCTCCATCTTCCAGAGATCTTCCGCTGAAATGCCGAGGGTGAGTTTTTTATAATTATTTTATTCATTAAACAAAAAAAAACGGTTCAACATTTTTTTTAATATCGTAATTTTCATGTGTAGTAGATAAATATTAATAATAATTGGAAAAATCAATTAAAAAAACTAATAATAATAAATTAATTAATTAATTCATTCATTCATTCATTAATCATAATAATAAACAATAATAAATAGAAATAATGAATTGCAATTAGCAATTAATAATAATGATTTAATTTATTCCTGAGATAATTCCAAAAATTATGCAATAAATTTTCTATTTTTTTTTTTATATAAAAATAAAAATGCGTATAGATTTTTTTTCTGGGAATCTAAATAAATCGCAGTTTTAATTATAAGATTGAGTTATTTATCCGCAGCATGAGAATCATTACCGAAGCGTTGAACCCCTCGTATGATCCCTTCGTAAATCGACTCTCTAATTACCCGAGAATTCCAAGTTGGGATGCGTGTTGAAGCGCCTAATGAGAGTCTTGTACCACCAATTGTTTATCATCAATCTTGAGGCTATTATCGCAGCAGTCTTTATCATTAATCTTACATCAATAATTGTAGTACAACTCTGACGATTTGAGCTGTCAATTTTATCGATTCTGTTGACATTTTCAGCGATGAAATTCACTTTCGTAATCGCGAGATTCCGCGATAACGCGGGATTGACACTTTTTTATTTATTTATTTAAAAAGATAGTTTTATTTCATTGATGCTACTTTACAGTTTTACATCTACACAATTTCTGCCTCAATTGTTTATTTCTTCGTAATAGATAATATTGATAAATATATTAAATAATAAGTTATATATTATGATAATATTAATAAATATATTAAATAACATTTAATATGACTTTAGGTTTCTTATAATTTATTTTGACACTTTAATATATTGTTATTTATACGTTTTTCCTGTTCACTCATTTATTTATTTATATTTTTTGTTTTTTACTGATGGGGAACACGTGCGTGTGGGGGTGACGCACGTGTGGGTCAATTAATTATTCACGCAAACGCGGGACAAGTGTAGCATATGGTCAGTAGATCAATAATAATTCCCTCAATGAAAGCACCCGATGCGTGAATCATGACAGGTGTCAAGTGGCGCATGACAGAAAAATCTTGACATTTATTTGGAATTTTTCTCGGTAATAATTGTAATTAAAATACGCAGTTCCAGATATTTAATTATGATTTCCCTGGGAATTAATAACAATTAAAATTATACAGGGCTCTATATTAAATTATCATTTTTTCCGAAATTAATTGTGATTAAAATATGCAGGTCTTGATATTTAATTAGAATTTTTTCCCCAGAATTAATTGCAATTAAAATATGGAGATGTTGATAGTTAATTAGATTTTTTCCCCCAGAATTAATTGCAATTAAAATATGCAGATCTTTATAGTTAATTACATTTTTTCCCGGAATTAATTGCAATTAAAATATGCAGATTAAAATATGCAGATGTCAATGCGAATTATCTCGGCAATTAATTACAATTAAAATATACAGATCTCGATGTTTAATTATTATTTTCCCCCAGAATAAATTACAATAAAAATTACGCAAATCTCGATATTTAATTACAACTTTCCCAGGAATGAATTTGATAAAAAAATATTCAGACGTCAATACGGAAGACCAAGGAAATGGCCAACGTGACATACGGCAAGTCCGCAATTGAATAAAATAAAGAAAACGCTGGGAAATATTGAATGAACATTGGACCTGCAGTAGTTTCGCGATATGCTGTAAAATTATTCGTGTAGTCGCAACAAGACGCAACAAGACGGAGATAGTGATGTATTATGTATTGGCATTGTCTGGGGTCTGTCATATTGGACTATGCACTCTGGTGGACATTCAGACGTTCTTGAGGATTGATATCAGAATGTGTCCCTTAGACTCTGCAGGCCGAGATCTTCGAGTGCCTGACCTGATGGCGAATATTCCACTCTAAAACCACAAAAAACTGGAAAAAATGTGTTTTTTCCGCACTCGGTACTGATTTTTTTTTTGTGAAAAAAGAATTTTTTGTGGAAAAAGTACTTTTGTCTATATAATACAATTGGCTATAGAATTTTCTATAAGATTGGGTTTTTTTTTTTGGAAAAGTACTATTCACAGAAAAGCCCAATAGAAATAATTTTATAGATTAGTACTTTTTCACGGATAAAAAGTATTTGTCTATAGAATTAAAGAGTACTTGTACATAAAAAGTACTTTTCTATAGAATTTTCCATCAAAATTCGGTAGACATTTTTTTTTTAAATAGCAGGATGAAAATTCTGAGAAAATTGTAGTCAATTTTTTTCAGTCAAAATTATAGACCGTTATTGTTTGTTTTTGGAAAAAGTACTTTTTTGGAAAAGTACTATTCACAGAAAAGCCCAATAGAAATAATTGTATAGATTAGTACTTTTCCATGGATAAAAAGTATTTGTCTATAGAATTAAAAAGTACTTGTATATAAAAAGTACTTTTCTATAGAATTTTCCATCAAAATTCGGTAGACATTTTTTTTTAAATAGCAGGATGAAAATTCAGAGAAAATTGTAGTGAATTTTTTTCAGTCAAAATTATAGACCGTTATGTCTGAAAATTGAAAAATTTGTTTCTCTGATGCATTCCATCTTTCAACAAATTCAAAGAGTACTTGTTTTGATAGACATCCTGTGATCATTTTTCACTTGGATTTATTTACCAAGTGCTCTGGCCTTGAAACGATTCTCTATTATTTTCAGTTCATTAGACACAATATTTTGAGGGGTAATCAAGGCCAGCGATATTACAAGAATGCATCGATCGGGAGATTCATTTCCGGAAATTCCGAGGAAGGAATTCCCGCACGACTCGAAATTCCTGAGAATGCGAGAAATTAAATTTTTATTTAAACAGTGGATGGGAAACTCCAATTATTAATAAATTATTTTTCCCCCGGAAAATTCAAAACTGTCACGTTATATTACCAATTTCAAGGGGAAGTTGTCAGGATATTTTCATTTTTGAAGACGGAAAAATAGTTGAGTAAAATTTTTAAAATTCGCGGGATTTTCTTTTAATGATTAATCATGCAAAAAATTATCAACTTATCACACACAATGGGACGTATGTCACGTTGAGACTGGAAAAATTCAGCGAGCAATACGATAATGAGCAACCATTACGCGACAAGTTTAATCGCATTTATTTGTTAAAGTTGACAGCTCAAATTCCATTGCGGTGATGGCCAAAAAGGGGATGAAACCAGTGTTGGGGAAACTCGGTTGTTTTCCCATCAGGGCGTCAACAATTTGTCACTCGTTAAAATCAATACTTGAGGATTTATTATCGATCAAAGTCCGAACGTCGAGACTATTTCACGTCACTCCATGTAATCAACTTGTCGTTTATCATTTCTGAATTTGTATGCAAAGATGTCACGTGTCAATTATCAAATATCCTCAATTTTCCCTAAGAAATTGAAAATTATAAAAAATTTTGTAATGGAATTTCTGTGGAAAATTCGTGAAAAAGTACTTTTTTTATAAAAAGTATTTGTTTATAGAATCATTTCTATAAAAATGTTCCTAAAAGTACTTTTTCTTCAAAAGTACTTTTTAAAAATAGAAAGTACTTATTTGTAAAATAATTTCTAAAAAAATCCCCTAAAAGTACTTTTTCTATAGATTTTTTCCTTTTTGAATTAATTCTATAGAGAAGTACTTTTATAGAAATAAAAATAATATCAGATAGTACTTTCTATTTTTAAAAAGTACTAACCGAATTTTCTGTAGAAATTCCGCGGAAAAATTTAAAAAATGTCAATATTTAAAATAATTCTATAGAAAAATTTAAATAATTTTATAAATAAAATATAATTTTAATGAAAACCAATCAAAATTAAAGGAACAAATCGGTGAAAAATGAATAGAAATTTTTTGGCAACTCGCAATTTCAGAACCGATTTTTTCCATTTTATTTCCCAGAAATTCGAGATATCAGATAGTCCTAGGAGCCGTTTATCTAATGACTATTAACTCAGGTGGTGAATTCCCATGGATTTACTGGCACTTGGCATGAGTTTGAATCGACAGGAGTTAATGCCCCTGGAGGTACGAGGAAACTTATCAAATTAAGATAACTTCTGGGGAAAAAAAATCGGCAATTCCGTGGGACGAAAATTTCGTTGGAACGAAAGGGGAAAAAAATCTCAGCGGTTAATGAAGAAGATTGGTGGTGGCTGATGAGACAGTTACACTTGTTCCTGACAATCAGAGAACCGCTATACCTCTATATCATATATTGATTGGTGCCATGTGGTGCCAGGTGTTGCCTCGTAAGTCTCGTCTTCGGGGAAGGCTCGATCTAGACCCCAGGATTCAGAAATTTATCCGGTTTTTTATTTTATCGGAATCGGTTCACTGCATTTTTTTACGAGATCTCAATCCACCGGAATCCACTGGAAATTAAATCCTAATTATAACAAATCATTAATTATCAATCATTAAATTATTAAATCATAATGAAATCTCAATAGAAATTATGTATTAATAAATTAAATCAATTTGTTCAATGTTTTTAAATAAAAAATCAGGGAATCCTGAAAAAATAGAGGAATCGAGTTTTTATTTTTTATTTTTTAAAATTCTGATTGCAATTGAAGGAGAAGTCGTGGAATTTTTGTTCGTCTCGAAATTATTTAGAAATAATTGAATTGAATTGAGAATATTTTTATAATTCAAAAAAATATTATTAACAATTTTCCCGATTTTTAATAATTTTTTTTTTTATAGAAATTTCGAAATAATCGAAAAAATCGAAATTTAATAGAAAAGTCCAGAAATTGAGAGAAAAATAAAAAAAATTTCTTTTCTCTCGTATACCCTTTCGGGTCTTTACGGTTAGTTGGTTCCCTTCCCACCCCCCCAACCCCCTGTACCGCATTTGCTTGAAGGGAGGGAAAAACCTCATCTGAGGGAAAAAACCTGCCCAGGTACAGTCGTCCTTTTGACAGGACTACCGCTCGGCAGTGG